GGCCGAGCTCTCCCCCTACGTCCAGCCAGGAGCCTGGCCTAGCACAGAGGGAGCCTGGCCAGCCGTGACCGGCAGCAGGTGGCACAAGCAGCCAGGGAGCTCGGCTGAGCGCCAGCCCCTGACAGACCTGGCGTGGAGCCCAGCTTCTCCCCCCGTGCCCGGCCAGAGCAGGGGCAGGAGTACAGGCCTGCCCCTCAGGCTCATCCTGCCTGGCACCGGCCCCAGGCACAGCCGCTGGGCCTGACAGAGCAGGAGGTGGCACCAGAGCCGGGGGCTGTGCCACTTGCTTCCCGCTGCCCCCACCCGTGAGGCCTCTCCAGGGCAGCCCCAGCCCTTGCCTGGCTGCCACAGGGTGGAAGCAGGAGGGCTGCTGGCCTCGGAAGCCAGGCCAGAGCCTGGGCATGAAGAGCCCTGCCACGGCCACGCCGGGCCTGGGCCGCTCTTCCTATGACAGCAGCTCCCACCACCCAGGCCCGCGCACCCTCCCCTCCGCAACCGGGGCAGGGTCGAGGTAGCCTGAGACACCACAGCACGCAGCCAGGCGCCAGCACCAAGGGGACTCGTGGCCCACGGATGCCCGCGCCTGCCAAGCCTGATCCGGGGCAGAGGCCAGGCCGGGCTGGCACCACGCGCTGCCTCCAGCACAGCCGGCCCCAGGGAGCTGCGGCAGAGGGAGCTGCTGAGTCACCCTGCGCCAGAGCAGGGCTGGGCCCACGCGGAGCCCACGCCCCTCCCGCCGCTCCACCCGCCTGCCCCGACCCAGCTCCAGGGCTGGCAGCTCGCCCTGCCCCGCGGCCAGTCTGGCCTCCGTCTCTTCTTCCCTGCAAGCCGCCCCGGCATCGCCTGCCCGCAGCGCAGCGGGGAGCCAGAGCAGCACCAGCGTCCTGGGGCCGACGTGGCCCCGCGGGTGTCCATGCATGCACAGGCATAGAGTCACAGAATCATAGAAGTCGGGTCGGGAGGGACCTTGTAAATCTTCAAGTCCGACCCCCCGCCTGGGCTGGAGAAAAACTGGCCTCAAATGGGTCCAGCCAGGTAGGCATCAAGCCTCTTCTCAAAGACCCCCAGGGTAGGAGCCAGCACCACTTCCCCAGCAAGTTGGGCAGAGCCGGCCCCAGGGCCCGGAGGACGGGGGAGACCTGCGGCGGGGAAGAGCGGACTCACCGTCTGGCGCTCCCAGCGCTGGGTCTGGCTGCCTCCCGCAGCCCGGGCCGAGCAGAGAGTGGCCACGGTCAACAGTTCTTCAACTGGCAGCTTTAGCTGGCACAGGACGTAAAGCATGCCACTGAAGAACTGCTGCGGGGCGGCCAGGGCGCGGGCGAGCGGGCGGCGGGCGCTGCGGAGGAAGCAGAGTCAGAGCGGGCACCGGGGCGGGGGGTCACC